CATGCGAGTGCGTGAGTGTGTGCGGGTGTGTGTGGTTGTTTGTTTGTTTGCCCGACTGCGTTTTGTGTCGTAAATTTAATGGCCAGTCGCAGTGGCAGAATCGAAAAGGAATCGAAACGAATTGAATGGCAAACTGGGAGCCATGGATAAAAAATTGCCAAAGCCAACGGGCGCGCGTGGGGTTAAGGGGCTGGCAGCCAGGGGTTAACTTCGATTAGCCCGAAATGTTGTCATGGCCTGTGGTCGCACATATGTGCCGTCCTTCGGTTTCGCAAGGAGGAATGTGTATTTACTGGGGGGTGTATGTGTGGTCATGGGGCCAAGGCACAAATAATAACCACCCACCACCACCACCCCCTGATTTCCCCATCGAATTTCCACAGACGCGGCAAAAATAAATAATAAAAAAGACAAGGACGAGAAAGGAAGTTGGCCGTTTACAAAATGTCGACGACAAAATGCTCAGCATGTTTTTACATATTATTAATTATTTTTGTCGCTATAGAAATATAAAAATATTAATTGGAAAAATTATGAATTTGATAGTTATTATTAAATTATAAATAATTGTTTAATAGATGGGAATGAGACAGCTCCTCTTTTCTTTATTCGCTAGAATTTATGTTCTTTTTATTATAAAGAAAATGTAATTATGAATTCTAAATTATAAAAAACATTAAAAGGAAAAAGGCTCTAAGATCTTATAATTGGAATTTATACTAATTAAAGATAGATGTGATTTTCTAATTTGCTGATCTTAATAAAAGGTTAACAATTTTTTCTTTTTTGTAATCGAATTCTACATAAATATGCCTTTAAAAACCAGTTTAAGGACAAACCGAAGCGAACGCGGTGCCTCAAAGACATAGGTGACTATACTTACAAAGGAAGATGGGTCCTGTGCGGCGGGTTCCTTTTCCCAGGTCCCAGGACCTTTCGTCCTTTTTGGGTGGGCGAACAGCGTCCCCCGAAATATAGGGCCATTGATCAAAATTGCTACAATAATGGCGAAAAATCCACCCCATGTGCGCGGCCCACCCACATTTGAAAGGCCAGTCCGGCGTTTTTCACCCCCTTGCCACCCACTTTTCCGCCTCCTCACATTTCACTCCGTTTCATGGCGGAAAGGAAAGCAAATATCGCCATTGCCGTCCAACATGGCAACGGAAAAACGGACAACAGGACCTGAATGTAGACTTTGCAGGCGGGCGATTTCGAGGGGGAGGAGGTGGCAAGTGGGTGGTTGGGTTGAATGGTGGCAGGACCTCGTCTACCATTGAAAGCCCGTTTTGATGGCTGCTCTGGATGCTGCCGCTGCCGCTGCGTTGGTGGTGGAAGGTCCTGGCAAGGTAGCAGGCGGTTGCCAACGCGCCTCTGCACGGAATGTCCAAAAGGACCAAGGGACCCGCCGCACTGAAAAAAAATGTTATGCATTTTTGGTTTAAGAAATTGTAAATTATAAATGTTACCAAATATATTAGATTGCAAACAAATACAATTAGCATCGTATTATAATGTGAATTATAAGTTAACATATTTACAATACAAAGAATACTTTGATTTTGATTATGTTTAAACAGATACAAACAGTATTTAAAAGTATATCAAAAATCAATCACTCACAAATCTTAGGTCTTATATATAAAATATATTAAGTGACATCAAATTATATGTTACAGATGCAAAGTCTCTGAAAAAGCCTGATAGTATGAAAGATTTTAATAGAACAATATAGTTCAGTGGCAAACAGTAATGCATATAATAGAATATAATACATGTTATATCAATATCCAAATATTAACAAATAATTTTTGAAATTTGATATAATTTAACTGGCAAAGAACCCCCTTTTTTCTCCCTGTGCACATGTGTGTGTGTGATTTCGCGTCACATGCCTTGGCTTCGTAATGGCCACAGTTGTTGTTATGGCCAAAGTTCGTACGTGAGGGTCGAGTTGCAAATAGAGGGGGTATGGAAAAGGGGGGAGAAGGGGGGTTGGGGGTGCCTGCTCACAGGACATCAGCCATTCGCATTTGGTCCTTTCTGGTGGCCGTTAGCTGGTCGGGTCGTTTGTACATATTGCATCAAAGAAAACTTTTGCCTGGGTAAAAATAAAGCATACCACACGCAGTCGCAATGGAAATGGGGAAAATGGGGGAAAAGTGGGGGGAAAAGGCGGCAGGGAAAAAGAAAACGGCTATGGCAACAAACGGACAGGGGACAACGCCAAAGGACATGGCCAAATACGTGTGTGCAAATCCTCATATGTACATCGTACATGCTTGTATACATATATACAAATGTATATGTTGCTGGGGCTTCCAAGCAAACAAAACAGGCCCTAACCACGCCCCCATTTTATTTTTACGCCCATCTTTGTTGACGTTTATCAAGTCAAGGCGCGGAAATTGACACTGGCCAAAGGAAACCACAATAAAAATTTTAACAAACTCACAATCACAAACACCTTTGCATATCTTTAAAGACTTAAACAAACTCTCCACAATAGCGAAATTTTTATTAAAAGTGACTTTACATTGACCTTAAGTTTTAAGACAATTAATCCTTAGATAATAAAATAATTTACAAGCCAATTTATAATTAAGTACTCACTCTTTCTTATTTTTATTATTTTGCCAATGTATATTAGTTGTACTAAACATTAATTTATTTAGCACCTTGTGTTTGATAAAAATTGTGTTTAACTGTGTTTGTATCATATTGACATTCTTGTTTGGGTTTTTAAAAACACATTATTTATAATAAAATGAAACAATTAAATTTAATTCAATTAACGAACTCAAAATATAAGTAAGAATCTAAAAAATAAATATTTCTTAGAAGTTTCGTAACCAGAATTCGGTTCATAGATCGCATAGGACCCCCCGAAAAAAGCCCCACTCCTACTCCAATCCGAAGCAACAACCCCACCGCACTCCACCCCACCACCACCACCCCCTCCCCAGCCCCCTTCTCAACCCCCTCCCCCACTAAGCAGGCAATCAGAGTCCAGATTTCCATGGGCAGGCCAGCACATGAGGACCAAAGCTGATCTCTGCGACAAAATATTAGTTCTGTCAAAATAAATTTCTTTGAGTAATGTAATCCCATTTTGCGGTTTGCGCGGTAGGGGGTGGGGCAAGGGAATGGGCGGTGGGTGGTGGGTGGAGTGGGGGAGTTGGTCCCATTTTTTTGCTGCCTCCCTTCCCGCTTTTCACCCTCTTGGTCACATTTCGCATCAGGCTGAATATGAATGCGATAAATCTGTTCGTGATTGTTTTTTTTTTTTTGGCGCACACACACATGTGTGTGTTGTGTGGGTGGTGCGGAGGTGTCCAACAAAAAAATGGCAGAGGTATTTGCTAATCCCGGGAAAAAATAAGAGGCGGAGTTCAGACTCTCGGTGGCAGATTCAGTTTCATTTTCAGCCGAACGTAAATCTGAATCTGAATCTGCGGTTTCGACGGGAGCTTCAGCTGGCCTTTATTACACTATTTCCTAAGCAGTCCGCTAGGCTCAAGGAAAAGGCAAAAGCATACACTAAGAAAAATTACCTATACTGGAATAGTATTTCCCCATTTGTATTGGACCTGGATTTGGATTTTGGTCCGCTAAAATATTTAATAAACATGGGCCTAATAAATTACCAAGGGTTTCCAGTACGGATTAATTTCATCGATTTTTTTTAGTTTTGATTGAATTCTTTTTTATATAAAAAAAATTAAAAGTTTTATCAAGTCGGACAAATAATATTTAAAGGAACTTAATATTAATTTATTTAATACAAATTTTTTGACTTTCAATTATTTATTTTTGAATTAATTTCGTTGACATCATTTCAAGTTCTTAGAATATTTTTCTAATTTGTAGCATATTTTTGCGAGTGTATCATGAGCTTACGAACTCAGTCGATTACGGACACATGTATGGTCGTTTCACGCACATGAGGACGTGACCAGGTGGGTGGATGCCTCCCCTCCTGGGTGGGTGGGTCCTTTTTGGGGGTGTGGCTCTTGACTTGGTCGCTGGATGATGACAATGTCTTCTGACAGCTTCTGCTGCCGCCTGTGATTGCCAAAAATGCGACACGATGACGGGGACGAGAGATTGCCAAGCAAAACAAAAAATAAACCATAATATATATGTGCATGTATAAAAAATGAAACCCTGAAATGTAATACACTCACACGCACTCCGATCCCTGAGCCGCAGACATTGATGAGGCCAAATTTCTGTGATTCGTCATCTAAATAGGTTTTCCCAGCCCACACACACTGCGCGGAATTGCCACGCATTACACACACGCACGCACTCTCCGGGGAAAATTGTCCAATCTATGGAAAAAATGCTCCGCAGCTGGGCAGGTTTCCTTTTGTGAAAAGGATTTACCGCCGGTCGAAATTTGCATTATTTAAACTTGTTGGTTACTTTTAATACACAGAAAATTTAAAGAAATTGCAGAAAATTATTTCATATTTTGTTCAGTCTGTTACTCACTAAATAAATCATTTATTCGCATCAATTTAATTTTGGTTGCATATTTCGATTTTATTTTGTAATATTAATAAAAATGATTTACAAGAAACATTAACCAACTTCTGCTCTTCTTGATTCACAACTTGCCCTATTAAAATTAACGACTCTAAATGTTGGATATCTAATAATCTGATTTGTAAGTTTTAATTTCAGCGATGACCAATTTGTTGACCCCTTTCGGGTTCAAATTTTGAAGTCTCCGATGAATGTCAGCTTTCACCCAAAATAAATTTATAGGGCCCATTGCTTGACTAATCAGATTCAGATTTCAAAGAGTGACACATCTACAAAATTTGTGAGTTAATCCTCTGATATTAAAATTAAGAGCTCACATATTTGCTAGATTTTTTTTCCATTTTAATTAACAACAAACTTGTTGTTTAAAAGTGGCATTAATTCAGACACTTAAACCCAATTTGAAAGTGATATAAAGTACCCCTTAACATTTGCAATCCTACAGAACATTTCTTCATCATAAGTGTTGGCTTTTATTTATAATCTATTATAAACATAGTATTTAATGCTCCATCGTTGGCGGTAGTCAAGGAGGAAAAAGAAGGACATAATGATTGTTAAACCTAAATGCACTGAATTGTATATTGCAATCGGGTCGGTCGCGACAGGCCAGGGCAATATCGAATACGATGCGAATGTTGCGTAACCACTAAGTATTGATTGATGCCGATCGAATATCCGCCGGCTGTAGGAAGGGGATGCGAGTTTGGGTGGGTATAGCTTGCGGATGCTTTTGGGTGGAAGGGATACGAGACTGTGGATGAGGAGGATGATGACAAGGAGGGACAGGAGCCAGCCGGATCAGTTAAGCTTGGAGCGCTTCTTGGCGATCGCATCCTCGACGGCGCGCAGTTGCTTCAGCAGTTCCTCGCGACGCGACTTCTTGCCATCCTTATCCTTGCCACCGTCTTTGTCCTTGTCCTTATCCTTGCCCTCCTTGTCTTTATCCTTGCTGTGTTCCTTCTCCTTATCCTTGCCGTTGCCGTGTTCCTTCTCCTTGTCGGAGTCGGCTGAGTTGTTGGGTGAGGCCAGCGCCGAAACTCCCACCATGTTCGACGTTTTCTTAATCTCAATGGAAATGGGCGAACGCTTCTTGGTTGCTTGTTCAGCGGCTGTGGAGATAGACATTGCAATTTATTAGTTTTTAATGAATTACGGAGTATTGTAAGAATTAAGTTTACAAAACATTTAAAACAAATCATATATGCTAGTATTATATGCGGTAATCTAGTATCTTTGAATCAATTGCACAACCAAATCTAAAACTATATATTCATCATCAAAAATAGTTACAGGGAAAGCTGTTTTACACTTGAACTACAAAAGACTCTTTAAAGAACATTACTTACAGACAAATAAAGCCGCATCTTAACAATTTAGAAAATGTTCTTATTTTCGAAAATCGTATTTTATTTTATTGGTCAAGGGGCACATATTTTTATTTGTAATACACTTTAATCTAAAAAGGTTTCTTGAGTGATTATAAACCAACAAACTTTAAATTGCTAAAACTGATATTTATATTATTATTAAAAATACCCTAAAAATGTCTTCGAACTTCTCCCTTAAACTATATGTACATAATGAGTGATCCTTACGCTTCTTGATAAGCTTTCGCTCGTTGAGCGCCTTGTCAGTGGCTCTGACTCGCTTCTGTGGCGTGTCCCTGGATCCCGATGAGCTGTCCGACGACGAGGAGCCTGATTCCGATTCGGAGTACGAGGTATCCGATGAGTCTGTAAACGAATTAAACATAAACATTAAAGTAAGTGTTTGTAATAGCTAATGAAATAATGCCTCACCTGAGTCAGATGTGCTGGAGCTGCGCCGGCGCCTCAGCTTGTCGAACTTTTTGGGTGCCGGCGACGAGAGCTTCTTTCGCTTGGAGGCGGGACTGTGGCCAGCACCGCGCTTGTCCAAAGCGGGTCGCTTGTACGAAGGTGAAAGGCTACCTTCTGTAAAAGCCAGATTAAAGCAATGATTGAGATGAGACTCTTTGAGCAATTGAATGAACAAGCCAAGAACTTACTGGAAGAGTGCCTGGGGCGACGCGGGATCTGGCTGGGCGAGCGAGCTGCCCGACCGCCATGCCGACGCGCGGAGGCGGAGGCTCCGGCCAACTTGTGGGAACTGCCGCCGTACCGTCGCTTATGGTCCGACGGACTGCTTGATCGCGACGAATCCGAACTGGAGTCACTTTGCGAGCTGTTCGAGGTGGAGTACGACGAGTTGCTGCTGTAGCTGCGTCTGTCCCGCCGGCGGCGATCTTCGCGATCGTAGGATCCGCCGCGACCCATCGACTTGGATCTCATCCAGGGATCGCTCCACTCATCGCCCCGTCCGGCGGCCTCCACCCGCTGCACAATGACCTCACGCGCCGGCCTCAATCGCCGGTCGTCCTCGTAGTGCGGCATCCGATGGGGCGGCAGCTCACGATATCTTGCCATCCGGCCGTACGCGTCGACATCCTCGTACTGCGGCGGCATATACTGCCCGCGAGCGTAGCGATCCGGTGGCGGACCGTAAACGGAGTACTGCAGGGGCAGGAGGGCACGTGGATTGCTGTGGGCAACGGCATGCGGATGCATTGAGAGTGGCATGAGCGGATTGAGTGGCTGCTCGCGCACCGAGCCCGATTGCGGGGGCGGTGACCGGGCGCTGCTGCCGCCACGGTCCTTGAGGTAGTACGAATCCTTCTCCATTTCATCGGGCGACAGTGTTAGGTTCATCTTCTTGTCCTCAAAGTCCATGTCCTGCTCCTTCCGCTTGTTGGCCTTTCGCATCATCTCCTTGGCAGTCCGCAGGCCGCGTTCCCAGGCATTCTCCACCACCACCGGCGCTTCGGGCAGCAGGGTGCGGCTGTCGTGCACATGGGCACCGTAAATACTGGGCGCATGGAGGAGCGCCGGCCGATGGTGAAGCGGTGGCCGCTCGTTCCGATAGTCGTGAAAGTCGGCCGTCGACGAGGAGTGCGCTCCATAAGCAGCCGATCCGGCGCGAGCGGCAGCGGCCGAGGATCCAGCGCTGGCCGCTCCGGCTGCGGCCGAACCGCCCTGCATCGGAACCGATCGCACTAGGCTCTCGAACATGGTGTAGTTGCCTTTGTCCGTGACGCCGGGATGCAGGAAGCGACAGCTCATGCCCCAGGTGCACTGGCCGCGCGTGTAGAAGCGACATACCGGCTTTGGTTCAGTCTCCTCCGGCCGCTTTTCGTCCTCGTCGGACACTTCGCCCTCCTCCAGCTCCTCCTCCTCCTTCTTGCGCTTGAGCGTGGCCAACGCCGCCGCCTCCTTCTCCTTGTCGTCTTCGCCCTCTTCCAGGCTGCCATTGCCTGCGGTATCCTTGCGCTTGTCCTTGTCATCGGTGTCGTCCTCATCGCCGTCTACCTCGCCGTCATCATCGTCATCGTTGTCCTCCGGTCCCTTGGTGGGGCCCTTGGCCTGGTTTGTTTCGTTGGCTTTGCTCTCCGACGGTGGCTCCTTTACCGGCTCCGGACACTCGCCCTCCTCCGCCTCAAAGTCCAAGGCGTCGTCGTCGTGCGTCTTAACCAGGTCCTCCTCCAAAGCGGACGCAGGCGCTCGCCCATTGGAGGCTTCGTCGGGCTGGAATAAATACAAAATTTGATTTAATTAATATATTTTTATTATTTATTATATTATTATTATATTTTGATAATGCCAAAGTTGAAAAGACAACATACGGTTTCAATATAACACAAACGTTACGGGTTAACTTTTAAATTTTAAGATCAAATCTATTTTCAACCAATTATTATATTATTGTATAGCAGCTATAAAAGATATAGGGAAACCAACCCCAATATTAAGACGTTTAAAATAACTAAGTTAAGTTAGTATAACTACTAAGAATTTATTAAATGCTTTTGAAACCAGCAAGCCTTTTAAAGGGTATAGAAATACGTTTGTCCTAGATTCGTAAAGACAGGAGCTCACTTTGGTCTCTTTGGCGGATGCCTTCTCCTCATCCCCGCTGGCCGCCTTGCCATTCTGCTGCACTGCGTCCTCCTCGCCCATAGCGGGCAGTGAGTCGTTGGAGATGGCGCCATCCTCGTCCTCGTCCGCCGGATGCAGCGAATTCTTGGACGGTGCTCGCTTCTCGTCCGCCTCGATGTCGCTAACATCGCTCAGATCCTCGTGGCTGATATTCAGATCCACGGCAGCCTGGTTGTACAGCTGGGGACTGTTGCTCCTGCTGCGAACGGAGGAAAGGAACGAACTGGGCTGCGATTTCGCGCTTGGAGAGCCAGGCTGCTGCACTTCTTCCGCAGTCGCCGCCGCTAAGGATTCAGGTTCCGGTTCAGGCACAGCATGTCGCTGCCTCTGTTGCTCGGAAAGTGGCTCCTGCTCCAGTTCCGGCTCCTGGTCGACCTCATCCTCGCTGGAGGACCCGCTGGAGGAGCTGCTGCCACTGCCACTGCCGCTGCTGCTGCTCGAGCTCTTCTTTTGCTTCTTGGACAGCTCACTGCGACTCGAACTGGAGCTGGAGTTCGACGATGAGCTGCTGGTGGACGCGGCCCGAACAGATCGTTCCAGAGTGGCTCCTCCACCACCGCCAGCCGATTCGTCTGCCTGATCCTCAACCGGATCGGGAGCAATCTCCTCCTCCTTGTCGTTGGTGGGCGAACTCGAACGCGACTCCGAAGAGTTGGACGGGGAACTGGCACGAGAATCGTCCGATTCCATATCGAGGACCATGGGTTCGCCTTATGCCGGTGCGGGCAACTCGTTCCCAGGCGTTTCTGCAGGAGATTCGAAGGGAACGGGTATTAGTTGGACTATCTTGGCTATTCCTACACAACTCCCTGGACAAATCTTAGACGATAGTAAACCACCACATTTCAGTGGGTGGGGGAATATAACCGAGGCAAAACTAGTGGAGCAAGTCGATCATTTGTTGGAGGCTTCTTCTAAGCTATTACAGTTTATATACTATTTTGATTTTGATCGATATATATATTTTTAATCAGTATATTCAGAATATTAAGACCTGGTTAGAAGTCATGGATTTTTTGTAAACCAGTGATAATATATTTAGCTTAACCATTTTCGATTTTAATTAATAATCATATATCACAAAATCATAACACGTGGTTTTTTATTGGTAATCCTCTTGAAAATTGAAAGTTCTTAAGAAAATGCATAAGTCTTGACCTTTCTATATAAGTTTTAAAAAAATGTAATTTTTTGTTTAAGATCGATAGAACGATCCCGCATTGGATGTACTCTTATGTAATCGTTTTAATCAACAAAAAAAATCGCCAGAATAGCAACTTCGATAACCCATTAGCGATAAAGGGAGACAAAGTTGGGGTCAACAAAGGGAAACAAAACCAAGGTCACGGTCAAAAGCCCCCAACAAATGCCGATAGCTTTTCGATTGCTCCGATAGCGCGATGGGGCATTTTAATCGATATGGGTATCGTTTTATTTCTTTTTTTTGCAATGAGGGAGAAGAAAAGTTTTGATTGATAAATTTTTTTTTGTTGCTGTTAACTTTTTGTAGGGTTCTTACCTTCATTTCTTTTATTAGCATTTATCTTTTTAATTTATTGATTATATTGTGTGTGTGCTACTGCCTTTTTTTATTGTATTTTATTTTTGATCAATTTTTGTGACGCGAACGAGAGAGACAACAGAGAGCGAGAGAGAGTGAGCAATTGGAAAAATTTATAAACGCGCTCCCTCCCTCTCACACACAAACAGTTAAGGACACGCACACACACAGACGCACACACATCAGAAAGTTAATTTTTTGATATTCTTGAATTTTTGCGGACTTTTGCGCACTTTTCGCGACCGAAATTAGATTTACTTAACAACTTTAACCACTTTTTCACTTACTGACTTTCGACTTTTACTGTAATACTTTTACATTTTGAACTTTTACTTTTTCGGTTTTTTTTTTGGAGGGGAAAAATAGAATACTTGAAAATATATCAATTTGTTGGTCTGGTTTAAGCAATATGCTCGATTTATTGTTGCTGCTTACCTATGCTTCAGTTGTGTGTGTGGGTGCGAGCGAGAACGCCGCTGCGCTGCCTCTGCCGACGTCAGCGCTGCGCTTTCCCCCTCTTTTTTCTCTTCGCCGGACTTTTGCCGTAGGACTGGGATAGAGTGCCTGTTGTCTGTTTTCCCGGCCTGCAGCTGGATTACCTGTAAGCGCTGGCTAATTGGCCAGCTGGAAAAGTTTTGGCAGCGGAAATTGCGTTCGATTCGTTTTTTTTTGAGTTAAAACAATAACCTCTGTCACGAAAAATAGAAAATATGGCGGCTGCCCCTCCAGAGTGACCGTGCGCAGCGTGACGGGAAATTCCTCTTTTTAAAAATACCCTAAAAAAGGTTAAGGGTACCCGACAGTGATGCCACTTGGCCGGTAAGGTCGTCGCATAAGGGTTAAGCGGGGCTAACATGCCCCTTTAAAAAAAAAACTCCATTGCGTGTTGGAAAAAAAATCGAAAAAGTCTCTTAATAGTTTAGGGAAAAAACTGCAGAGCGAAGATGTAAAACTTTTGTTCTAAAAAAATGTTAGTTTGCCAGAATATATCTATGAAATAAATAAAAGAATATTGAAAGTTATTTCGAAAAAATAGTAAATTAAACTATCAATTGGTTCCATATCGGAATATTGTATTTAAAAATCAGTATTAAATAACCTTTTAAAACACCAGATTTTTTTTCCAAACACCCTTTAATGAATGTTTTGAACTACGTCCCTGTCGATTGCCTGGCATATGTAAATAGCTCAAAAACTTGACTCCACAATACAATTGGCACAATGTTCGAAATTAACAACATTTGACTGAGATTTTAATTACGCAACTGGAAGAACATAGCCCCCTTTTCACCCACGCACACACCACTGTCCGCTTAGTTTTTCCCGCCGGTGGCGTGTGTACACACTGGCCACCAAATGCAGCACCTGACGAAATCGTTACGTTTACTAACGTATTTTCCCGCGGGAAAGAGAGTCCTTCCTCCAGGGTCATGTCCTTTTTGGGTCCTGAAGAAGGGGTACTCCTCGGAGCCCGTGGAACTGAGCTTCGATTTGTACACGGGCGAAGGAACCGACGAAACGAGGCCACCTTTGTTGACCTACCACGGACTATTCGGTTCCAAGCAGAATTGGCGGGGAATTAGCAAGGCTCTGGTGCGGAAAGTGCCCAGAAAGGTGGGTCATTGGGTACTTTATGGATTACCCTGAATAATAAGAAGTTTTTTACCCCCAGGTGTATGCTATAGATGTCCGGAATCATGGCGAGAGTCCCCATTCGAGTGTCCACAATTCGGGGGCAATGAGCGAGGATTTGCGTCTCTTTATGGAGCAGCGCAACCATCCGAAAGCCGCCTGCATGGGACACAGCATGGGAGGTCGCTCCATGATGTACTTCGCCCGCAAATACGTGAGTGGTGCACTGTAATTCACCAAGAAGATTGAAATACAATACGTAATATTGATCATCAGTACAGAATAGATCCCAAGTAAAACAACTAGGTTCTGTGAAATTTCAAGTGGAATATTTGATATTACTCGAGTATATGAACCTTTAGGCTTAAAAGTCCATTGTTGTTTAGCTAGGAGCAGGATATGTTGACATAAATATATCTAGGATTAGTTAAAGCACTCCTTAAAAAAATAAACAATACCTAATATGGTTCAGGATCAGTGCAGAATATGTTTTACAATATAGGTATAACTAGTATTATTTTATTTAAAATTAAATATGTAATTCATATTCCTATTAGTAAGGGTTCCATTTTTGTTATTGATCCATAGAGACTTCAAGTTAGGTATGTTACGACTGTATAAATAAAGGAAACAATACCTAGTAAGGTTCAAAGAAGATGGCAGGATGTGATTCTAAAAATTGCCAAAGAATTTTATAAAGTATTCTATTACAAAAGTATAAAGTATAATCTTACACAAATCTATGTATTTTGAATCCACATTAAATCATGATTTGTGCCATTTTAGCCCGAGATGGTGGACCGATTGATAGTAGTGGACATATCACCCATAAGCGTGCCGCGTTCCACTGGCGAGATGACGGAAATCTTCGACGCGATGGTCTCCCTGGATCTCTCACCGTCTTTGTCCATGTCGGAGGGCAGGAAATTAGCCAGGGAAAAACTACTAGAAGCCACCGAAGACGAGACCGTGGACTTCATCATGCTGAATCTGCGGAAAGATCCCGATTCGGGGGCGTAAGTTAGGCTCTTTGGGGACTAAATTTGGATTGATTCAAAGGAGTAATCCCCTACAGATTCTCGTGGGCCTGCAATGCCCAGGTTCTTAGAGATTTCCTCACCCGCTTCGATAACTACCAAAGTAATCTGGAAGAACTGCCTCCGTATACGGGACCCACCACTTTTATCTGCGGATCGCGTTCACCCTACATGAGGTTAGCTTTGGTTGCTACAGATTACCAACTCTAAAAATCCAAATTAACGCAATGTTTTTTCGATTTCAGACGCGAGCAATGGCCGCAAATTCAGGAGATGTTCCCGAATTCCGAGATTCACTGGCTGGAAGCCGGTCATCTGGTGCACTTTGAACAGCCGCAAGAATTTTTAACATTAGTCAGCGAGTTCCTAAACAGATCTGACTGAACCACCAAATTGTTATGTTAGCCAATTGTACAAAGGAGTCAATAATATATAGGCTTTAGCTAAATAAACTTAAAAACTCTTTTTTTGGATAGGTTTTCTACATGTAACATTATAAATGGAAAACGTATATGAAATATAAGGTTTAATTTCCTGTTTATAAAACAAAAAAGTTGTTGCATACTTTCAATTTAAGATCTGTACAGATCAAGATAGTAAACCTTCACAAAAAAGAGCAGGATAGCAACATTTTGATAAGGCTTAAATAATCAAATAACATTATTTTGAATAAATTAGTCATTTTCTTGCGGGTACAGTAGCTAAAATTTAACGCCTGATATAGAAAACTAAAATCAAATATAAGCCAATAATTATTTGATTAGTTAAGTGAACCACGGTTTGTATTACCGGTTATCGGTTGGTATTATAACCAAATAAAAATTAATTCAGCTTTTAAATAAGCAACATTAAACCTGATTATACTGACTATTTTTGAACTGATTTTTCAAGGTTTTCCCCAACAAATACTTACTGTAGCTACATTTTCAAGTACTTTTAGTCACGAAATGCACTCCAAATGACGTCAGTTTCGATTTCTCAAAAATGTTGACCCAACTTCAATTTATAGTGGTGTATGTACATTTAAAATGTAATTTAATTTATCATTCTTGTTCGGCGTGTGATCGTTAGATTCTTTAGATTTTCATTTTCGTTTCATTTTTTTCATCTGGGTTTTGTTAAAAAATATACATACACAGACACGAAAAAAATGCCATGAAGAAGCTGATAGATCTCGTATGATCGTATGCTGCATACAAAAATTGACAGCAATTGTTTTTTTTTTTTTGGTTTTTCTAATTTTCGAAATGTTTCAATTCGTTTTTCTTTGGTTTCGTGTGTGTATACGTATGTATGTTCCTTGTTGGGCGTGTGTGAGTGTACTTACTTATTAGGAATAAATAAATGTGTATAAATACAGATATAAATCAGGGGAAATCACATTGCACTTAAAATTATATAGTCGAAGTTTAAATCATTGATAAATGAACACATTCCGCGTGCTTCAGTGTGTGTTTGTTTGTTTGTTTTTGTGTTTGTGTTTGGAGTGTACGGGAGTCATTATCCTTGCTAAATACATCAAACAGGAATGGTGGGTAAAACTCTTGTGCTAAGGCTAAAATGGCTGTGATAATATTCCTCGATTCGATGTGTAGTGATTGTGGATTGTGAGTGGGTGTTTCAGTGTTTTGTGTGTGTGACAAGTCATTGATTTTGTCTCACAGCTTTTGTAGTTTTAGTTCTTTAGTTATTAGTTTTGCTCTAGTTGTAGTTCCATTTCACTTCCATCCATACACTGCTTAGTTGGGTTTCTAGACTATAATGCCGCCATCGTAGGCGTAGTCGGCTTTGTTGTGCATGACGAGTCGGTTTTCCACAAAGTAAAAGCTGTCCGAGCGCGTCTCAAAGGGGCTCGATATCATCTCAGCCACTGAAAAGATAAAATAAGTCAATAAATTATAGATACATAACTCATTTTGGACCAAATTAATTTAAATGGTAAGAAAACATTGGTTGTAATAAAATATCGAAGTGAGCTTCACGCTAGGATACAGTTAAGAATATACTTGCTCAAACTTTAAATTAAATCTAAACGATATAAAATAACGAAATGAAATAACTTCTCATTAGCATAAATATAATTTTCGTGTTCGAGTTAAATTTGGAAATAAGTAAACATTAATAAATACTTAATATTGTCAAAGCTTATAATGGAATAATGATAAATGTTAATACAAATAATCTAAATAAATAAATAAGACCCCATTAATATAAAATTAAAATTATAAAAGCATAAGATAACAGATTTGTAATTGTCATCTGGCACCAAAATTGTAAAATAATAATAATGGTATATGGTCATAAACTTATCAACGAAATCTGACAAATAAAAGCCTATTAATGTGCCACAAACAACCCTCTTTCTCACAAACAGAAGTGCAAAGCGGCCTTGACCCACAAACACCTTTAACTTTTTGGCAGCCTCTTGACTGCTTGGCTGGGATTATGTAAATGCCCGCTTAACTGGGCTGGACTGCTCACCTAGGTCGGGTGGAAGGTTAGGAAACTCGTAGATGTGCTCGCACGTATTCTTCGAATATGGAATGCAGTAGCCAAACTCAAAGTCGAAAGTCTTTAGCAGGCGATCGCGGAAGAAGTGGCGTTCGATCATACGGAAATTATTGACAGGCTGGCTGCCCACAGTGAACTCTACACTAAAAGAGTTGATAAAGCCAATATAAGTTAAGATGTAGGCATTATAAAATACAGGATAACCTACGTGGCTCCCACAGTTTTAAGGTTGAGAAATGCCGGTGTAAACTGATAGCGCACATAGCGTCCGGCATTTGGATCGGCAGTGTCCTCCAGCGACAGTTCCTCGGCTGCCGCCAACATGGTCTCCTCCACGGACAGTCCGTCCGGATATTGCTCGCTCGGCGGCTTGGCGATCTCGAAGAGCACGGCTCCGCTCTCCAGGTCGCGGATCTTGAACCGCGTAAAGTCAATCTCGAACACATTTGCATTGGCGGAGCAGAGATAGTCGTCCGTGATCTTGGTCAGGTGGAGCACCTCGTCGGGACTCACGCTGGAGGGCTCCGCCGCTCGTTTGGAGTCGTTGGAGGCACCTCCGCCTCCCGAGGCGGCAGCCCCCGCGGATCCTCCACTGCCACCGTTGGCCTCCACCCCACTGCTGGATGAAGAGGATCCTCCGCCGGCTGAAGAGGAAGATGTGGCCACGGCAGCGGCATTGGAGGATTGCACGGGATTCAGTTGCTTGCCAACCACACTCATTTTCTAGGGGAATTATGGTCTGGGGATCGGATTCTGAAGCTGAACAGTTTCTGGTGGAGATTAAGGCTCCTGACTGGCTGTAGCAGTGGTATCCTTCGCTTTCAAGCTACTTTGCTGGCTCACTCTGCAAGAAAAATAACGAAAAGGTTGTTTAGTAGGGGAAGATAATAAATAAGGTAGTAGTTTTTCAACCAAAAAAAAAGGAGAAATTATAAGGTTACCTTTTTCGGATACATTTTTGTTATCATTAAAATTATAATGGATATTTTAATTATCATATTATATTATCCATTATGGATATTTAAGAAAAAATCGTAGGCGAATTACAAAGAGAGTTATGTATACTTTACATCCTTTTTAATATGCTTTCATAATTACAAGGTATACAAAATTGATTATAGTTCTTAACTATATTTGAAATATAAAAATAAAGTAAATCAAAAAAATTTGATTTTAAGTACAATGGGTATATATACCATACGAAATGTACCATTTTGGTTTACTAAAAAAAATTCAAAAAATAATAATAATAATATACATATTAAATTGCATCTGCAAAGTAACCAAAAAAACAAAAATAAATTTAAACAATAATAAAGAATTACACTAACCCACACAAACACATACGCGTAGAGTTGCCATAAATTGTGCCAGGATTTTCTGGTGGATATATAAGGCTTCCTTCCGATTTCCCAATTGGATTTGGTATTATCCTTTTGATTTTCCCTCCTCACTCTTTAGAAAACATAAAGAGAATCACCATTTTTTTAGAATAAAACATTTAAAAGAAAAAAATAATAAATAAATGCATTAAAAAAAACAATACTCACCCACGCAAATGCAATTTGCCAGTGTTGCCATAACATTTAAGCTGTCAGCAACAACAACAACCAGCAGCAGCAACAACAACAAATGCACACACAACACAACAACAAAATATGAAAATTCAAAGGAAAATCACCAGCAACAACAACAAATGACCCAATTCCTGGAAAAGCTGCGCTCTCCTTTCCTTTTTCCTTTTTGATTTTCTTTGTGTTTGTTTTTCCTTTTACCGTTGGCGTCCTTTGTATTAGTATATATGCATGTATGTGTGTGTATTTGTGAGCGTTTTGTGGTTTTGTTGTTGCTGCGCTTCCCGAAAATCAATTAAATTAATTTGACCGGCATAACAATGCTGTTGTTGTTGTTGTTTGCAACTCCAATTAACGCACTTAAACGTTAAACATTGCACTTTTCTGCCCACTTTTTTGCATCTACTTTGCAAAACACGTCCGATTAAGGTTATCGCCGATAGGCAGGCGGTGCTGTCTATCGACTGCCAAGAGTTGCAAGACCAGGGAAATAACATTTTTACTTGTCATTGGGCGGGGTCACACAGTTGGCGCGCAGTTATCGGATTTAAAAAAATTTTAAAAATATCTTGCAGAAAAATGGGTTGAAAAACTAAATTGTTTACAACATAGTAAAAAAAAAAACGGAAATTTGTTTTTTATATTTCATTTGATTCTCTCCTAAAGGTTAGCCTCATTTAATGTTACCATTTGGTAAAATAAAGTATGGAGACACTTTTGGCGCGTTGCTAACAAAATTTAAAGTTCAAGACTAGAAAATGATTTATTTTGCCAAGAATTTAATATATAAATAAAAAAAAGTTTTGGGCTGCAATTTTTAAATTTTTATCGTATAACATACATACATATTTGTTTCATTTGAATATTTAACAGTTCACTAAAATATCAATCCTTTAAGGACCCAACGTTTTTAAAGAAGAAAAACTCTAAATAAAAAACAAATAAAATTTAAGTATTTACATTTTTTTTATATACACTATATCTTACACTATATCATATATATATATTCGATTTGACAAAACAATATAGTAAATCACGTTTTAAGCTAAAAAAAAGAATATCATTGGGTACAGAATAAACTCGAAAAGGAAATACTTTTGGAGCGTGCAAATGTGTTAAATGGCGTGTCGATCGCTTCCCTGCGTTTTTGTGGCCGACAATTAGTTAATATCCATGCAGTCCGCCTGCTTCTCCTTTTCTCAAGTGCTGACGAGCGCCCTTTCGAGTGGATTCCTCTAGCCCGAAGATAAGCCCGGTCCAAAACTCAAGTGTCCTATCCCTATCCCATATCCCATTCCGTATAGCACACCATACCGTACCCATTTCGATTTCCATATTCAGACGCACGGGCGCCAATGCCAGATCATGTTCGGGCACTGGGAAAAACTAACTTCATATTTTAAATATTATTGTTATGACCGAAAAACCATTATTTAAAATTTTTGTAGTAATGAAAAAAAATATTAAAATTGTTTTTTAAATATCAATAATACTAATTAATACTAATTGGTCTTATTAATTTCCAATTTTATTGCTTTTTAATTTCAATATGACAGTGTTATATTTTTACAAGTTTGAAACCAAAAATGTTTTTCTTTTTAAATTTATATTAAATACTTACAAATTTGATAACAATGAGTATGAGTTATATTGTTAGTGTCGAACTCTATTCCTTGAACCTATTGTTATTGAATGTTTGTCCTTAAAGATAATGTAAATTAATGACTGTTAAACTTTTTGATAAAGGTGTTCTATTTTTTGTATTTGTATTTA